GGGCGGGTGGGGGAGGCGCGGGGCTGCTTTTCCTGCAACTTGTTTACGCCTTCCTTATATTGGGGAGGAAAAGAGGGGTCGGGGCCGGGGCCGCCGCCCGCCTCGCGCCGCGTGCGTGTGCCATTCCGGGATAATGGGCTGTGCACACTCGCGTCCTGGGCCCCGCGGGCCGTCCTCGCGCCGCGGCGGCGGGGCGGGGGGAAGTAGAGGCCGGCGGGGGTGGGGATCGGGAAGCGCAGCAGCCGAGGCATCCGCCGCGCGCCCCGCGAGCTGGTGGGGGGGAGGAAAACTTGAGAGCCGTGGAAGGGGAGGAGGGCACGGTGGCACGGGCGGGGGGAGGGCGCAACTTTTGGACTGGTGGTAAAACTTTAATTACCTTTAAAGAAAAAAGAGGCCCTATGCCTCCCCCCTCCCCCTCCGTTCTGGTCAAAGCACGGCCCACGGCGCGACCGTGAGAGAAAGTTTAAAAGCGGGCGGTTTCCTCCCCGCCTTCCCCGCGGAGGGGTGGGGGTGTCTGTCTGTCTGTCCGTCTGCGCTCGGTGAGAGGTGGGGGTAACGAGCCGCGCTCTCCGGGGCGCGAGGACCGTGGCTGTACCCCACCCTTCCACGGGGAGACGAAGGTAAACGTTGCTTCGGTTTCCCTTCTCAGTCCCCCTGCCGCCGCCACCCCGCTTCCTTTTCCTCCCCCTCCCCGCCGATTTTTTGAGGGGACCCTAAAAACGGAGTCTCTTTCCTTATGCAACTTCCTTGGGCGCAGCGAGCACGGCCCTTCCCCCCTCTGCATCCCTTGGCCCGCTCCTTCAGCACCTCGGGGCCACCGCCAGTAAAATGCCTTCGAGATCATTCAAAGTGCACAGAAACAAAAATAGATCTTTAATTGTTCTAGGTTAGGGGAAACTGAGATGAGAAATAAGAATTTGGGGTGGGGGCGGCCGGCGGCTGCGGTGAGCGCGTCGAATTATCATTTTGATTTTCCTAGAGCGTTGTTTGTGATGTCTTTATTGGTTTGGGGGGCCCGAGAGTCTCTGTACTGGCTATCTCGGTCGCGTGGATTTTTGCGCAAGTTTTTAGAAAAACACTGACTCGAGTAGAGAGCATTTCTCCGGAAAGTTTCAAGTGCAGCAAAATAGCGAACGTGCAAAACTGGCCAAGGGGAGACCTCTAGTGGTTAAACGCATCTTTAAGTTCGGAAGGCCGAGAGCAAAGTTTGGCCTTTACTTGTAGCTACGTAGTCCGTTCAGACGTGGAAGTAATTAGAGGACCTGAGCGAGCAGCCAGATGTTGTGTGAAAGGATGCTGATCAGAAATAGAAAGTTTAGTAAATCGGAGAGCACTGAAATCTGAGGACTCAGACCTTGTAACTTCCATCCGTCATGACTTACGTGTGAAAAATACTTTGCTGTTACACTGGGTTTTAAGATTGATCGCTCCTTGGGTTAGAAACAATTGTTTGTATTTATTGTTGTCTATACCTTTCATCAATTTTAATCATGAGTCACAGCAAATAACTTCATTTTGAATGTTAATAAAAATACAAAGTGAAACATGTGTTTAAGACTTTGAAGAAATGAAAAAGACCTTTGGTTGAGATTTGCCCTTGATACGAGCTGGTCATTTTATTCTCTGATAAATATAATTGAAGGCTAGTATTTAGTTTCTTAGCTGTTTAGTTATTTATAGTCATAAAACAAGTAGTCCCTTGTGGTTCTAAGATTGTAATTTTGTTTCAGTGGGTAAGAAATTATTTCTGAATACTTTGTGATTTAAAACACTTAAATATATGGGCAAAACTGCTCACATAATATCTATTCTTTTGCCTGTGTATATTCTGTAAAGTATCTTTAAAAATAAAAGCAGTGAGGCGTGTTAAAGTTGAGTCAAATGATCCCTGTAACTTTCACCTGCTCATCATACAACGGGAAAGACTTTATTGGGTGAACTTAGGTTATGGGAATGATATGAATGATTAAAACTCATTTCATCTCATCCGGGACTAGTTTATTTATACAGAGTGGTATGGTGTGAAATTATGCATGTCAGTGATTCAAATGTAAACTTACAAATTGTGAATTATGGATTTGAAGGCTTCTTTTTGATGACCATGCTTTGATTTTACCTTTCCTCTCATTAAATCAGTGCTAGACCCTTAGAAGAGATCTTGGGAGTGGACAGCAATTGTGAAGACCACCAGACAGTTCTGCCTTTCTTGACTGCTGCAAAGTAAGATTTGCTTGTTAAAACATTGTTTCACATGCTTGCAAATGTTAAAAGCTGCATTTGGAGATCAGGAAGGAGAGTGTGGGACAGGGTTGGCAGAAAAGTCATCATTTTATGGAAGCTGCTTTGAATGCATGAATCTGTTGACACTAAGTGTGACTGAGGGTTGAGTGAAACATTAGGAGAAGCTGTGAGATTGTCCTGGGAGGATGATCATCTTTGGACTGGCTTACTTACTAGATTCTTTTTTTTTTTTACTTACCACTATACTAATGAGGAGATTCTTAATTAGCATTTTAGCACCTGTTTTCTACTGAAAGTAAATTTTTTTATTCTTTGGAATTGAAAAAGTGGAAAAACTGGAATAAAGTGATTGCAAATTAATGTTACTGTTACATAGGTATACAGTGATATGGAAGATTCTAGAATTTTAAATGTCTTTGGGTTCCAGTGGTAAAATTTTGTAGATGAAATTTATAGTGAGAGCTTTGGGGTATTTAAGTAACCTAACTCCTATGGCTTAAATCCAAGATGGACTGACTTGCTCCAGATATCATGTCACAGGGTTATAGTGAGCTTCCAGTGTGTTAGCATAGACTTGTCAACTTTTGGTTTTTGTTTATGTTTGTTTTTGGTAGAGATGGGGTCTCACTACGTTGTCCAGGCTGGTCTTCAACTCCTGGCCTCAAGCAGTCCTCCTGCCTTGGCCTCCCAAAGTGCTGGGATTACAGGCATGAGCCACCACGCCTGGCTAGACTTGACAACTTTTGAACATATCCCCACAGAGAATATAACTGTTGTCCAATAAGATCCCTCTGGTAAATTTGGAGAGTGCTGGCTTATCTCTAATAATCCAAGACCCACTTTTAGGACAAAAGTCATCCTCAGACAGAGGGGGCAGCTGTCTCTGGGGGCAGCTGTCTCTAGGGTGGAATATCTAAGTACATCTGTGCCACTCTAGTGCTTTCTAACATTATACCCTTTTTGCTTTTTTCCCCCTTTAGGTTTCCCCTTTCCTTTTCTGCTTGTTTTCCTGCTTTTTCTATCTTGGATATGACAGGGGTTGCTAATTCTTGTTGGGCAAAAACAAAAGGAAACAAAAATTAGTCTACATTTTATGAGCAGGACTAATAATCCTGAGTGGGCCAGATTGTGGTCTAGGAGTCAAACTGAATAATTACTGATACAAAAATGATTAACAGGAGTTTACTGTCATTTTCCGCATGTGGATCATTTTGAATAGCGTAATTAGCAAAATATTAATAAATAGATGTGGTCCATGTAGATTATAGCAGCAGTGGGGCAGAAACTACTCTAAGAAGGTCATACAGACAGAATTAAGGTTCAAGCAGAGTGAAGTGTGTTTCCTAGGATGGTAAGTGTCCTGTTGAGACATGCCGAATCGAAGATAGTGCTTATTTTTCTTCATCTGGGGAGTCATTGTGGCTATGGATAGAATGTTTAAGTCACTTTACCTCCTTCAGCCTAGATTTTCTCATCTGGAAAATGGGAACAATACTTGCCTGGCTTCCTTTGTTAGCAGGATCAAATAAAACAAGATTTTGAGAACTATAAAATTAGGTAAATGTGTGGTAGTCTTATTGTCCTTTTACCTTAGCCAAGCTTTGTGAAGGGAAGGAGGTAGGTTGTCTAGGGTGGAACATAGTAATTTAATTCCTGGCTAAAATTGTTAGAGTGGTTTCTGGTGTATGTAGTATATGGACTTGTCAAAAATATTTCTAGGGATATTTCTTTTTTTGAGAAAAAAAGTAGTTTTCCTTTTATAGTATTGGCTCCTTGAGGGAAGGGACCATGTTCTAACATGGTGCTGAATACAGAACCTGAAATTTATTTATCCCAAACTAGTCATTTAGTAAGTAGAAGGAGTAAGTGAAAGAAATACTTTAAAATGATGCCTAATTGTGAAAATGGCAGGGTGATGAAAGTAGAAGGGTTGGTGTGAGGGGAATTAATGTACCGTAATTAATATTTTAGTTGCATGAGTCTGCTGGGAGATGAGGAGGAGAAAATAGGTAACTGGGGGAGTAATGATTTAAACTAACTATAGGGGCCAGAAAATGAGTCAGTCCTCTGAATGACTGGATTTAGGGAAAGGTCCACATAGAGCTTTCCCTCCCTGTTTTCTAGACCCCTTTGCTACTGTATTCTAATTATAACCAATTATCTAAAAATATTTACATAGAAAAAAAAATCACAAGTCCTGTCTGTCATTATTTTCAATTTGAAGGTACTGAACCTGACAAAATAAACCCTGACAAGTTTTAGTTTTATTTCATCTCTCTTCTTTTGTAGATTATCCAGTCAATGTTCTAAGAATCAAAAAGCCCCATAGTAGGGGAAAAAAGAAATATATTTCCTGTTTAATTAGTGCCTGAGTAACTGAGAGTTGCTTCTTGAAGAATTTCCACTGGTTCGATAGTTTATTTTTAAGAATTCTATATTTCAACCAGTTTTATTTATAGTAGATGCAGTTAGGATGGGAAATTTACAAGAGAAGTTACTTTACATGGTGTTGGACAAGGGTACCCTTGGGGGGTCCCAAGAATAGGCATCCTGAGAGATCCCTCCAGCAGTGTTTCTACTAGTTACTTAACTAGTTTTTATTGAGTTCTTCACTAAAAGACTAGGTCTTTGCCCTTGAGGAGTTCTCTGGATCCTTACTCCAGGAGTAGACGCAACTCTGAGCTCTGCTAATAATAGTATAACAATTGCACATTGTACCGGTAGACAAGAATAAAGGCTCCAGCACTCTCGGGAGCCACTGAGCCAGGAAACAAGGATTTCTGGGCTAACTGGTGCAGAACCATGGCATATAATTGTATACATAGAGTACAACACATGACATTCCTTTTTTAATGCTTTGCCTTCAGAAATGAATAAGAAACCCTTCACCCACTCGCAAGGAATGCCTGAATCATGTACCTGGTGGGAGTGATAGATTTGAGCTGATTCTTTCTTGACCATTGTGTTCACAAGGTGATGGTGACTTTCTGGTGAAGATCTGGTCTATCACTGTTCCAACTCGCTACTATTGAGGGATTTGTTTCTTACAAGAATTTGGAGGTTATTATGATATGGGTGAAGATACCATATTTAGAGAGAACTATTTATAGGTTCATATGTGTATGTGTAAATATATATGTGTATGTGTGATGTCTTAAAGGTCAGGGGATACATGGCAGATATATTTCGTGAAGGGCTTCATTATCGAATGGGAATACTCTCAGGTTATCTCTTCACTGTGTTCAGTTATTTCATTGACACTTACAGATATGAGTCAATAGTGGGAGATCATGAAGTGGTTTGTATTGATTGCAGCAGCTATGCAGCCAGTGGATGAAAGGGAACACCAGGAAAGCGTACCCTTGAAATACAACTAAGTTTGATTTATGAAGTAAAATTGGAAAGGACCTTTAGACAATTCCCATTCAGGATACAGGATAGTTTGGAGGAAAGAACAAGGATTTTTGAGAGGAGTTTGAGTAAAGTTGGGTGATCTTGAGGGAGGGAACTTTTTCTGGTAAACTCTAGTTTCTTCCTTAGAAGTAGACTTGAAGTGAATTACTTGGATGGTGATTGTAAGAATTATATACATATTATATGTAATACTAAAATGCTTTCTACATTGTTATTCTTTATCCCATATATACTGAAAATGGGTGTTTTTCATTCAGTCAACAAATATTTATTGAGCGGCTGTTTTGTGTAAATCACTGTTGGGAAGTGTTTCACAAAATCAACAGTTATAACAGGATTCAAGGAATGAATATGTTGAGGCTACAGAGAAATGGAGCATCAATCCTTGGCCCCAGCATATTTGTAATCTAGCTGGAGAGATAACCCATACATATATAATGGTAATTAACAAAATGAAGCCATGGTTAAGTGTGAGTCGATGGCAGAGATAAATGCTGTATGTTCTACGGTAGTATCTCTGGATTTGGTGTTAAATGTGTTCCTGTGATAGGGGCCTGGAAGATGGGGTGCCCTCTGCAAAACACTCTGAAATGTTGATATACGATATTAGGTACAATTGTATATTGAGAGCCTTCTGAGTGTCAAGCGTTAAGCTGGGTGCCTTATATTCATTTACTTATTTATTCATCCAAAAAATACTTTCTGAGTGCTTTCTGTATGCTCAGGTACTGTTCTAGGCACTGAGTATTATCTCTGATACTTTCACTAACCTTGAGCATTTGTTGTTATTATTTCTCTTTTAGAGCAAACCAGTGTTTAGAGATACTTAGTAACTTGTTTAAGTTCATATCATGCAGCTCGAACGGGGTGGAACCAGGGAAAATGATACTGGCTTATGACTGTGTTGTTATATCTTTAGGTTTCTGATTTTCGAAATAGTAATTCCTGGAATATTTCAAAGATAACTTGTTTCCAGATTAATATATTTGCACTTATACATTGGTTTAGTAAAATGAGCAACAATGAATGTGTATAAGAAAATTGATGGGAAGAAAACTCTTTCTACTTTTATCTTTTTTTTTCTTTTTTAAACCAAAAATTGGGAAAAGACCAATCATTGAGTTATTTTGAAAAGAATACCTTGGTCTAGCTTATGGCCTTGAAATGATCACAAACTGCTATAAAATGTTACTTAGATTAGGTTTTGGAATTACTGTGCATACTTATATAAAATATTTTATTCTTAGTGGGAAGAAACCCAATAAGACAGTAGGGTTATTTATAAAAAATAATAAAGCAATCAATCGATAAAAAGAATGGGGCCTAAATTTACCAAGGCAGGCTCAAAAGGTTATGGAATTTGCTCAGAAGCCAGGATTGTAAAAGGAAGAAGAAAATTAAAATAAGGGATAGAGATAATGGTGGGGAGAAACCGGGGGTGTATGTGGCAGAAATATAGTGGCCTAGAATCAAAATAAAAAATGAAAACAGGGAATATGACTAAGAAGATACTAAACAAGGATGCTATAATTACTGGTGTTATACACTCTAACCAAAATGCAAAA